ATGCGGAGCGTTTCAGTTGTGAACTTCGTAATGATGCTGATACTGGTATCATTATTACTAGTAATACCTTCGTTATTTGTAGTTATTACTATTATTATTACTGCTGTTGTTATTATTATTATTACCATTATTATATACTCTTACTGGTGCTTTTTTTCTGGATTTTTTTCCTGAAACACTGAAGTTTTAATTCACTGGTTTTGTGAAATTTTGATTCTTTTTGTTTTTATTCAATTTATGAACATTTTTTTTTTGCGTTTTGCAGCAGAAGCACAGATATATGATAAGTTAAAAGAAGTGATGCAAACGGTCGATCTGGATGAAGTAACCAGTAGAGATATTCGCCTGAAGGTCAGTCAGTTTTCTTATATTGCATCACAAAATTACCCATGGCACGCGGGGTTTCCCCCTCCCCCTTGTTAAAGGAATCATTTGGAGTAGAATTTTTTTGCAGGTCGAAGAAAGTTTGGGAATGAATTTGGATGAGTACAAAGATTTCATCAGTCGCCAAGTGATGGTTATTATGGGCCAAATGGATACAGCATCGCAAATTTTCCCTTATCTCTACTTGGGCACCGAATGGAATGCATGCGATTGGCAGTGGCTTGAAAATAACAAGTTCGCGCATTTGCAAGACTTTTTCCTTAAATCTCTTGTAGCGACTTGAGCCACCAAGTGGTTTCGGAAATCGCCAGTTTTTTGTGAAAAAGAAAAATTTGGGGCCCGAAAAAACTCACTTTTTTTGGGTGATACTTCGGTTTAGTACTTGGAGCTATTTTTTGAATATATTCAGTATGATTTTGCAGTGTCAAATATATTGTAAACGTAACGAATGAAGTGGAAAATTTTTTTCCGGCTCGTTTAAAATATCTAAAAATACGTGTTTCGGATGAGGCCAGTGCTGAGCTGCTGAAGTATTGGAACCAGACAAATCAATTCATCAAGGAAGCTAAGTAAGTTCTTTCACAACAACTTGTATTTTTGACCCTAACTCGTTGTTTTAGCCTTCCCTTGTCATTTTTTTGGTGGTGGGGTTTTGCTAATTTGTCATATTATTTTGATATTC